CGGAGAACTTTCGTTCCATCCGAAGAAAATAAACTTACATGCAAGATCAAGATTGAAAGATTTTGTTACAATTGGTGTAATTACAAATACATGAAATTAGATCGGCCACTTAACGTTTGTCATTTACGATGAAGGAATAAATCTGTTGATTGCTCTGAAAATTTTAAAATTATTCAAATTTTCACACTTGCGATAGTAAATAGTAAATAATAATTTACAATAATAAATTATTTTACAAATGAACAAATTTTTCATTTAAATTGTAATTTTTTTATAAATCAAAACGATTAAAAATGTAGGTTAATTAATGCGAGAAATATTAAGAAATGTCTGAGTTATGATTACTTTAGATATAAAGGTGAACATCGTAAGAATTAAATGAGAGTGGCATTTAAGCTAAGCCCACACTAAGCGTTATAACGTAGCATCATCTGATCTGACTTTTCGTCGCTGCGAGGTTACACATGAAGCTTTCCATCCATCAAATAAATTGCGACATAAACAAAACGTGTGGTGTTAGTAGTCTGTATACTTAGTATAATGCTAGTAATGTTATTAAATACAATGGAGAAGCATTTTTTAATTTAACTGCAAGTATGAGTTAAAATACCGAAAGTTCACGCAAACATCAGCATATTTCGTAGTCTCCAAAGTAAAAACATACAGTACATAGCAACTCTTAGTACCTCGATTTCGTATAAGAACCAATATATGATCAAGTTTAAATCATGATGTACTATCGATCATCATCAGAAAGCATTTTAACTTTTAAAGTTCGCAAGCATCTCTCGACTTCCAAGTATAATCGCAAAATGCATATGAGGTTCGGCAAGTTGAACTCTCGGGTTTCGGCTGCCAAAAGGCGACCATAATAATCATCTTTAGAGCCTCCTGCAACCGACGGCTCGCCGCAGCCACCGCAGCTTCAGCCCACTTATGCCGTGAGCAAACACGGCCTGCGGGCACGACTGCTTCATTCCAACCCTTCTGCTGCCGATCAGTAATGTGTTTTATTTATTCCAACCCTTCTGCTGCCGATCAGTAATGAGTTTTATTTATTCCAACCCTTCTGCTGCCGATCAGTGATGAGTTTTATTTATTTGTAGCAACATCCCGCCTGACTTCTTGAATCAAACCACCTAAGAAACAGTTCATTCTCGTGTTAACTTTGTCATACCCGTTTTGCTTCTTGACAGTTCATCACCAGCTCTGTACCTGTAAACAATAAACTTGCCTCACACCTTACTCCCCTAGCCTCTGAGTTTCAGTAAACTTTATTCCAGCATTGTCAGCATCAATCTTTACATATTCCAACCCTTCTACTGCCGATCAGTAATGAGTTTTATCTATTCCAACTTTTTAAAATCAACCTTTCATATGAATACAAAAATTGTTACTTGATTGTCTTTCTAACTCATCAAAATGGGAACTTTTGCTTAATTTTTGCAAATGCTGAAAATTGTTCAAAGAATTCCATTATTTATTGCAAAACAATAGTTACAATAATTAATTCGATACAATCTTTCCAACCTACATGAAATAAAGATTTTGAATTATGAAATAGCAGCTGATGAGAATATTTGTAACATTGAATATCAGAGCGATACGGAACGCTTTAATAAGGAAAGCAGTTCTCAAACCATGCATTATTTACGGTACACTTACTGCATGGTTGTTCCAATTGTTGGTGTGCATCGCCCACACTCAAGTTTGCGTGAACAAACGCACTTTGCAAACATTAGAGGAGGCCATTAGGCCAATTGCCTGTTTTCACTCAAGAAAGTGTTTGCATAAACGGGAAATATCGAACATTGTGGCTTTTTTTGCTGCGAGAAATTATGCCGAGTCGACAGTTTCGTGTTCAACTTTAATCAGATAATTTTTTCCCAGTTCAAGTAATTAAAGTTTAATCAATAAATAATAAACATGACATTTAGTGGATGAATTGGGCCCGTCACTGCGGATTGACATTTCCAAATAAAGTTTTCATTTTAGTGATGTATCCTCGAGTAAACATTTTTTATTACAATCCTGAATTTGATGAACCTCTGTGAAAGAAAATAATTTGACAAGTACTAGTCTAATAATATAAGTAATTATTCATAATATACAGCCATACTAATATATAGAAGCCTTCACACTCGGTATCAGTAGATACCCACCCGTTCCAAAATAGGTCCCGTCCAACGTCTAAAATAACTATAATTTTCAATAGCAATAATGCATTTGAAGCTTACCATGGCTCATAGAACGATACCTACAGAGGTATCGTTTCATTGTGTTATATATGACTAGCAAAGTGCGCCTAATAAATCCTCCTAAATGTAAAGTATTGATTAAATTATTTCGCAAATCGCAACATTTTTATTGCTCATTAAAAACATTTGCATTAAATTTACTTTTGCCTACCCTGGAATCGCTTAATATGAATGATTTCTTATGTCAGCCCGCTTCATGATCGAGAGACGCAGGCTTGGGGCGGCTTCCTTTCACTTTCCATCTCGATCCCGTACCAAGATTCGCATAATGTCGCATCTGCAGACAACCGTCGAACGCTGAGCAAGATTCACTGCCAATCGCAGGGCTCAAACTAAAAGCAAACTTAGTAACGCTCGTAATCAGCGAGTATTGAATGCAATCAAGCAATCAATTCATTTTTCCAAGTCACGTGCTATCCAGAAATGAGTTTAAAAGGATATGATTATCTGAAAAGTTAAGCTTGTATATGCATCGTCCCACATTTCTTGATTTACACGCATTCTTAACATGACACGGTCAAGAGAACAACCTCTCTTACACACGCACTGCGAAGATAAAATTAACAGGATAATCACGTCGTTACCAGGCGTATTTACTACACAAGGACGCTAATTCTTATTCGCTTTGTGCAAATGAATAGAGAAATTAAAAAAATGGTGAATCGGCATAAAACTGTTTCCGTCGCAATCCCAAGTTCTTACAGAACAGCTGATTCAAAGGGCGTAATTCTAATTCTTTGTGTTTACCAAATATAGTCAATACTCGAATGCAAATGATATAAAACGCACGCATGAAAATCGCACAAAAGGAATTCATCGTGTCAATTTGTCAGCTTAATAAAATAGCTTACACATTTTAATGCTGTCCAGCAGAATATCGTATGTCGCGGCCGTGCAGTGGAAAGTATCTTCCAACAATTCTACAGAAGGATGCAATATATTTTGCAGCAGAGAGGAACAGCCAATACAGGTTTTCTCGCCAGATGGTTCAATAGCAGTGAGTGTAAGAGGGTTAACCCGCCACGTCTATATATCCGACTTAAAAAAATAGTCAGTGCTCTCGAGGTCGCGGTATCACGCGATAAAAAATTATAGAAGCTCGTATTTGATATCAGCTAGTGAATTTTTATAGTCAAGAAGAAGAAAGTACTGACTAGAAGAAGCATTTTTTTCAAATGAATAGAAGAAAATAAATAATTTTCTCAACGTATATTCAACATGCGTATATTGAAATTGCATAACACTTAAGGATTCTTGCGTGTAAAGTGAAGCCTGCACTCGGAAGGATAGCCTGCATGTTTAAAACTAAACTTCGCTGGCCCATTAATTCAGCAGCCAATAGCGCGGTATATACGACTCCTATGGAATTAAGTCTCCGGTAATGATCTGCGGTGGACCGGCTACTTGTGCTAGAAAATATATTTTCAGTAATTTAAAAATAATAGCAACTAAACTAAATAATAGCAATAATACTAAAATAATAGCAACTAAACTAAAACAATTATGATTTGCAAGTTATTAAGAACATGCAAACTCAGATTACTGTCGATGAATTTTGATTTTCAGATCGAATCTTTTAGTTATCTAACCAATATTGTGATTCTAATAGCGGGGATAGCAATTGTTCTACGTAGATTGAAACTCAAATCGACCAAAAAGTGTCTTGATTTGACTGGCAATCAGTAGGGAAAACTCAATCCGTATCGACAATACATTTCTTAACGAGATGCTACGGAGAAAATCGGTAAATTCGGATTTTAGATTTAGATTTAGATAGAGACATTTACACGAAATTTATATGTCTGATGAGGCCCAAAAATTAATGTTGAAATTAAAGTTATAAATGCTTCTTTCATTCGTTGTCATGCATATGGGAAATAAGGATTATACGTATGTCACATCCTGTAAGATATCAGGGTTATCAATCCCGAGCTGTATCAGGTTTACCTCCAATTGATTATGTTACGGTAGGGCAATGCAAGAGAAACAATTATGGATCACACATTGATTGGTTGTAATTGTGATGATCGACATGATGAATATCGAGGCCACGAAGAAGAGGATGAGAACACGCAAGCGTACCTCCACCACGCACCCCTCTCATAATGCGTGATGTTTGCGCTATCACGAACAGGAAAGAACCAAGGTTCGAACAGGAACAACCTTGGGGTTGTTTCGAACCTTGCTTTGTGCACGCATCGCGGGACAATGTGAGGTGATCCACAGTACAGTGCATGAGGGTCAACCGTTCCTGAATATTTCTATTGTTATTTGTCATTTGAAAATAAGTCGCAGCATAAAAAAGTTGAAATTTTACAAAAGTCAAAAATCTATGCAAATATGTGTCCATAGTTCACATCTCTTGTGTTTATTGTGACCAGTCGTAAGCTAATAAGGATTGGAAAAAATAATTCATGTATTTTATTAATTGAGTGTACTTTGCACGGAAAGATTGAACAACGAGCGCCGTAACAATTGTAACGTGTCAGTGCGAGGAAAGATAATACCCAACATTCATGATAATAGCGTCTGTATACGTGTTGTTAGTCAACTTAAATCAACATTAGATTCCTATCAGTGTGATCGTTATCAATTTACATACCTGCATTCTGTTACAGGTCACGGGGATAAAATTTCAACACGTAAGCGCAAAAAAAATTTACGAGTGCACAATCTTTCGTGTGTGCAAAAAATCTCAGTGATTAAGTTTAGATTATGATATGATGAGACATGTTTATTTACCTTCATGCTGAGTCTGGCGACGGCAGCATCAAAGTCAGCGTCGGAGCACCACATCAGACTGTCTCGATCCTCTGCACCAGACAGTCCCAGCGCCGGCAAAGCTGAGGGTTCCAACGCAGAAGACTTGACGAGGGTCTCACTGAACGCAGTCGAAGGAGCCATCTCTTGAGGACGTTTGGATTCTTTCGAAGGCGAGTTGGAAAAATTGTAAATTACAGATGGTAATGTTTTCTGTTTAGTTGGGGAATAGTATGTACCAGCATCGTGGTCATTTGAGGGCGAAGAGTTGTGTGTTTGAGAAGAAGTTTTGGTATCATATATGTATTCTTTCGGGGAAATTTCGGATACCTTTCCGCGTTCGTTATACGACTGCACGTTGGAGTTATTATCGTCTGAAGAAAGGAGTCGGGAAGAGGAAGATAAGAGCGTAGAAGACGTTTTTGATTTGTTAATAACAGATGATCGAGGCTTTGTGTTAGAGGCTTGCGACGTGCTTGAGCATACAGGCTGCGACAAAGGATGACTTGGTCCTGACGTAAGACGAGGCTGACTGGGGTTGCGAAAGAAGTTGCCGGAACCTTGTGATGATTGGGTGTGAGTGACGCTAGTTGACTGGGAAGAATGGTTAGGGCCTTTCAGAGAGTTCGAATGACTTGAAATAGAGGATGTCTTAGAGGAATAGCTCGGACCGGAAGAAGACCGAGAGGAATGGCTAGGGTTCGGTGATGCCGGCTCGGAGTGGCTAGCACTAGGTGACGGCTGGGCAGTGCTGGTGCCCAGCCTAGAGAACCCAGTGGTGATGCCCACAGACGTGCCCGATACGCTTGCCACCGCTCCAGAGCTGCTGCCCGACAAACTCTGTAAGCAAAATAAAGTACAAGTTACTAGACAATTAACAAATTTCATAAGTATTCAACCATTATTAGACTGCATAGTTACAATTGTACCTACAGTCGGTACGACATGGGTTAAACGCAACTAGAGTAATTTAAATTTGAATTTGAACGGCGTCCAGATGTAATATTTTGTCGCTATGATAGCTTCTGAACTTTGGCGGTCTGTGACATAAGTGACCCATGCTATGACTCATCTCATGTTCAGCGAAACATTTCATTGACATTATATTGATTCAATATTATGGATTTCCAGGGCGCGTGCAAAATAGAGCAAGGAAAGAATTACAATGCAGATTTATTCGCAAAACCCCAGAATAACAACAACACTAATGAAAGATAGACTTTTGCTTTTACGGATGAAATTAAAAATGGATATTCTATCTTATAAAAATAAGCATGAAAATATAATATATATTAAATTCAAATATAACATATAAGTACAAATTATAAATATGGAAAGCTACAACACCACCACTATTGATAACATATGAAGTAACGAAATTCGATTCCCAATACGGGTTCACGCTCGCAATTATAGGTATCGGAATCCAAGTCACACATTCAGGCACTGAGGCAGAACGATCGCCGGGCCGTAACGACATAGCCATTGTCAAAGCCACGCTCGCTCACGGGTTCCACTCCGCCATTACCCGGGAGTTTTCTCTGGGGGTTTTCTATGCAATCGGCCGGAGGCGGAAGAGGGAGAATTCGTGCCTGGCTGATACCACGAATCCAAGTCACACATTCAGGCACTGAGGCAGAACGATCGCCGGGCCGTAACGACATAGCCATTGTCAAAGCCACGCTCGCTCACGGGTTCCACTCCGCCATTACCCGGCAGTTTTCTCTGGGGGTTTTCTATGCAATCGGCCGGAGGCGGAAGAGGGAGAATTCGTGCCTGGCTGATACCACGAAGCAGGCTTTCTAAAACCACGCTAGCTTATGCCCTTCTTGCCCGCAGCTTGCATTCACGCGGTCAAATTAGAGGTATGTCAAGCGAGTTCTTTTTCTGTATGCTCGCGCACAGGAAACTTTGATGACACCCTAAGGATTCTAAAGGCTGAATGCTTCGAGGTGCGGGAGGAAATGCAAACGAGTCTTTTCTAGCGAAATTTTTAACTGAGAAAATGCTTAGCTGAACGGTAATTAGTACTTGATCACCATCGAACACTTGAGTCATTCCTAGATGCGACACGCATTCATGGTTGCCGGAATAAATGCTAGTAAAGCTGCATAAATAAAGGTATACGTTTACATACATAAACTGTTCAGACTTTTTATTTTAGACATTAGTGCAGAACTGAAGAAAACTACGTTAGTAACCATCACTGCCAATATCATTTCTGAATCGCACAGCTACAATTAAATTAAAGTTCTGCCAGGATTGTTCAGTATGGAAATTCGCTCAAGTTAAATTTCTTATATGTATGAAATGGAGAAAACAGATTCAATTAGTGCCACTTTGATGACTTGCAGTATCAAGTCTAAATGTTCATAGGATCTCAATTTACAGGGGTTCGGCTTATCTCAGAAGCATTCATGCAGTCACTGTCAAGCTATCAAAATCACGAAGTGAATGCAACATGTTTCCACCCAAACTAGAAGGGTGCAGGGGTGCCAACTGAGAGTTGGGATTATGTACAATGCAAAGTTCAAAACTTCACCCTCTAGAACGGTTACCACCCAAACAAGAGATACCAATTAAGAAGTTTTAACCACAGCAAAGTTCAAAACTTCACCCAGTGAAATGGTTGCCACCCAATCTGAAGTGCCCGACACCGTGTGACCTGCAATACGGCGAAATTGAAGGGGCGCGAGGAAAGAGAGAGAGAGCAGCCAGAGTCATGCTAACGTCTCCTGACCTACTGAAGGGAAGCAACAGAAGAACCTCACAGAGTGTCTCACATGAAGGTGTAGTAAAAGTAGGTACACGAGAGGACAATCTCAGACAATAAAAAAGCGAGCGGAATGAAATCAAGAAAATACATCAGAGAGAACAACGATGTTTATTAGTGTTAGGTACTCTGGAACATCGTGAAGTATGCAGCATGGTTTCCGTTTGCTAATGAAACGCCAGCTCCGTTCTAGTTGTTGACTGAAGAACAGTGGATAATATAACAGTATTTTATCCGCTAATATTGAAACTAAGACGTCATGCTACACAGAGGACCGTCGAAAGACGTCTGAATGAGACACGCCGGTACACGCAGCGTGTGGCATACGGCGTCTTGTGGCCGGTACACGCGGCGTGTGGCATACGGCGTCTTATGGCCGGTACACGCGCCGTGTGGCATACGGCGTCTTGTGGCCGGTACACGTGGTGCCTTTTTCCAGCATTAAATATCAATTGAGAATTCCAATTGATATTATTTGGAACTTGCAGTCGGCAAGGGTGACGAAGAAATTATTGTACGACTTTGGATTGAACTGATAATTTCAGAACTAAATGGTATGGATTGACCAGCGTCATGGTCATTGCTCAACAGCACCTTAAATAGAATTATTCATGCTGCAAGAATTTAGCTTATTCTAGAAAATGATGAATGTGCTTCAATTTTTTCGATTAAACTTGTACAGTTTCTCGTTTACTCTTCTTGACTGTTAAAAATTCATTCATAGAAGTGCAAACAAAAATTTAAAAACTATATTAATATATTGTGGCTTGCATTTAAACTCGAATATATAACAGAGTTTAAAATTAATTTCGTGATTAACTATCCTTAATATTATTGTTTTATCGCTTAAATTTAATTTAATCTTCGTGTTTCCCACTTCATCTTAATTATTGACCAATTTCAAAAACATGGGCGCGTCTATCTTCAGACAGAAACAATGCGTCTTTTGATACATTTCAATTTTAACTACATTTTTTACACCACATCTGCATTTTCTGAGGACAAGTATTTAGTAAGGACAACAGCCGGTAAATTTCGCGAAAATCAATAACTGTTAAATAGGATGCAAGTTTAGTCAGTTATGTTCTTCAAGTTATCATGGAGAACGGTACTCTAGCTATTTATGCGATCAACTGTAGTGAGTTATAAATCACATAAAATCACGTCGTAAGAAATGTTCTAGTTTCATATCAGTATCGCATCATTATTTAAACTGTAACAATTGAAAGCGGGTGACACACAAGTATAAAGTCTAACACAAATTCACACGTATACAAATGTATACATGTGAATACATGTATACAAGTGAATACATTTATACACATGTATAAAGTCTAACACAAATTGCAGTCCCACGATTTTCATAACAGGCAACTGGAACCAACTTTGAATCCGGAAAAATGTCATCAGGCTCGGTGAACAATGGGCGCGAACTACGAACATATGGCAGAGCAGACAATTGCGCACTCGCTGCCATAGCGACGACCGCTGTAACGTTTATTGGTCATCCACGGTTGTGCTGTGATGAAACACATTTGCAAGAGAATTCACGCTCGCAGCGAACACTCCACTGCTTGCGCAACGCAGTAAAACAAAATTGTTGAAATCGAACATATTGTCGCGCCGCTGGACACGCGTATATAATACGAAATTGCACAGCAACGAACGCGCACACAAAATATCCCTATCGATACCCAATGACTCCAAACACGGATAGTCATGCTAATCAAACGTGCAAGAAACGAAAGGTAAGAAAATTTATAAACACTTTTTCAAAGCATAAACGGAAGAAATGCAAGATACCGCAGCACTTTGAATTCACCGATAACCGTTAGAGCCGTTATCTTAATCTAACACGGCATTGTCTTGCATTACATGACAGTGTGTAATCTGCATGTTATCAGATGATGAACACTACAAACTTCTGCATATACACTAAACATGGTTGCTTTATATAGTACAGCAATAGGAATTTTTCGACTGCTTCTCACTTAGTTACAGAGTTAAAAGTTATGAAATGTATCGAACTGTTTTGATCTCGACAATAAACTTTTAATCTGATAGTTTATATTCGCATCAAGAAAAAATCCAAGAAAATGAGATTGAACTATTCATGAATGAACACGAAGCAAATTTGTAATTCCAATTCTATTATATTGGAATCGAGCAGCGCGAAATAGCCCAACTCTGGCATACGCTAAACAATGTCGAAAAAAAACAGCTTAAAAGAATTGTACATTTATTTCAAAATCAATATGTAATCTAAAAATAAAATGTCATGAGATTGCAGTTAAAATTATTAATACATTATCATATAATTAGAGGCCGAAGCAGGCAATATTTACACATATTTTACAGGTGCCAGCATGTGCACGAATCGCATGCAATAAAAAAATTGAACAGAAGGGCCGCCATCTAAGGAAGCTCGACCCTAAAATTCAGGATTCGCTTCACTAATTCCAAACGCACTATGAGCAGAAATCCTATCTCATTTTTGCGACAAAACAGATGTCAGGAAACCTCAATATGAAGGAATACCATAACTAATCAGAATGTATAATATCCTATTCAGCGATTAAATTAAATTTTAGAATGTTTAAACGATTTATTAAACTAAATTCGAAAGTGAAGCAAGTAATTTTAGACTAATTATCGAACAACATACGGTTAATTGTAAAAAAATTCCTCCAGCTCTCGTTTCATTCGCTGAAATCTTCTCCAGTAAGGCTCAAGAATTTCTGGGTATTTTTATGAGGTCAGGAGAAAGAGAAAAAAGTACCTTGCATGACGCACGATGCGCTGCAGCACTTTCCCTTCGCGTACCTCCATTACAAAAGGTCACTTCACTGTGCATGCAGACCTGAATTTGTAGGCCTACGGGACCATTGAGTTTTTGCTCAGAAAAATCTCCCAACTATTGCCTTATGTTCGTATTTTCTATAGACTTTAGTATAAAACAAATGAGGATAAATGCCTTAATTATAAACATATAATGTCGATAAGTTTGTAGTATACATATTAGAAGCCTGATAATAGCTTGAACATGTAAAAATTTCTGCAATGAATG